ATACAGGCACCATTAACAGCCTGATTAATTGCCCTAGTGCAGGTGGAAAGCACTGGTCATTGTGTTGTGCACCCCACTCTGTGCCCGATCCACCAAGGCAGCAAGCCTCAGCCACATAGCCAGGCTTTTGAGCTCAAGCTGTAGAGATCAATGCTTGTAGCTCCAGAGGTCCCTAGTGCAGTCCTGGCTGATGGGCGTTGCACAGGGCCTGTACTGGGTGGCCTATGGCAGCCTGTCACAGGGTGCACCACTCACCGCTTGTGTGGCACCTCCTCCTGGTCACTCTGGGGATTAGCTCTCGAGGTGGACACCCCTTCCAGCAGTTAAACCCAGTCAGTTTCTCCTCTGCAGCCCCTCTCTCCTTCTCAGGAGCTGCAGTTGTCCTCTTTGTGACTCAGCCTTCTGGCCAGCTCACTATTGTGGTTTCCCCTTCTGGGGTACAGTCCTTCAATTCTCTGTCACTCCCACAGTGACCCAGGCAGCCTTCCCGTTCACCGCCCTGATGGTCTATGCCACGCCCTTGGTGGCTGGCAGGGGAACCGGGGTCCACCCACTACTCCAGGGTCCAGTCCAGCAACCCTTAACCCAGCAGTTCTGGGATTTAGTCTCACAGCCCTCACTGCTCCTTCTCTGTAGTACTGGGTTTACAATGACACCAAGGCGCTGGGCCCACACTGGGACGGGGCCCATTATGGACTCCTCTAGCCGATCCATATGGCTGGGACTGGCCCCTCACCTGGGGAAGTCCAGGCCTTGCTGTGTGAGCAGCTCCCAGCCAGCAGGTCCCACTCACCTGTAGGGGGCTCGCCGCCCGGAAGCCAGGCTGCACCATGTGGGCTGGGCAGGGCTGCTGGCAGCGGGCATGGCCAGGCAGGCTCTCGGGGCGGTGCGAGGGTGTGGGGGGGTCACATCCCAGGGGTCTGCCCCACTTCCCAGCACGGCTCTGGCTCCGAGCGGTCTGTGCTGCCCACCACCTGTGGGGCTCTGCCCACCTCCCTGGACCTAGCCTCCAGGGACCAGTGCAGAGGCCAGGTTGGTCTCAGCCAGTTGGGGGGGTGGGGCAGCGTGGGGAGCTTAGCCAGACCGCGCCAGGCAAGTGGGTCCTGAGGGAGCCCGGCCCGGGCAGGCCCTGCTCCTGCTCTGGCCTGGCTGATTGCGCTGGAGTGATCCCCACCCCAGGACCGGCCCATGCTGTGCTGCCGGTGCAGCCCAGCGGGCACGGTCACCTCCTAGTGGGGCCGGTGAGTGTGGGAGTGGGCAGGACGCAGGGGAGGTCTCTCTGGCAGTCTGGGGCGGGGGTGCTGGGCAGAGAAGGGGTGGGGGATGCTGGGGAGTGGGGGAGGTTTGTGTGTTTTGGGGCACTGGGCATAGGGGGATCTGTGTGGTGTGCTGTGTTGTTGTGGTGGTGGGGCTGTGGGGGGGGCAACGGGGGTCTGTGGGGAGGGGGAAAGGGAACGCTGACAGCGCAGAGCCAGGCTGCCCCATCCCAGCAGCAGCCCCCAGCTGTTGCCAGCTACCTGGCTTGATTGGCCCTGCCTGTCCCTGGCCAGCTAAGCCTGGTTGCAATCAATTTCCTGCTCCCTGGCTCTCCCTCCAGGTGCAGCCTGTGGAGTTAATAGGCTTAGCTGGTCACCCCTTCCAGTCCGGTGTGAGCTGGACTCCCCACCACACAGCCTTATGCTGGGCTCCCTGAAAGTCCCAGCACAGGGGGCATGTTTGGGGAGGGGTTGCTGGGCATGCTGCTCTGACCATACTATCTTGGGACTCCCCCACCCTCAGGTTGCCCAGTCTGGGCTGACTCCAGGAAGCAGAACACAAAATCTCAGCCTGTGTGTTCCTGCCAGCAGTTGAACTTCTAGATCATTTTTTGTATGCAGGCTGTCGTTAGAAAAAGACCTGAGTCCATAGGGACTATGATATGGGATCTTCCAGCTCGGGGTGAGTGAGGAGAGAGATGCTGCACTGAGCAATGTGTCAGGGTGATCTTCCAGTGCAGGGGAAGCCTTGGAGAAAAACTGGGGCTAAATAGGGATGAGCCATTACACAGTGGCCAAGATGGAGAAAAGGGCAGAAAGAGGGAAAACAGCACAAACTTCCAGAAATTGAAGTACGTGTAAAAGAGGAGTAGATTCAAAGCCGCACTGAAATCAATGGAGGTATTTTCACTGCATTCAAGGGACACTGCATTTTGAACAGACTATTATGAGAAAATTGGGACACAATGTTGCCAACTCTTGCGATTTTGTTGCAGTTAACACAACACAAGGACCAAGGGCTCACCCAATGAAATTAATAGGCAGCAGGTTTATAACAAACATAAGGAAGAACTTCTTCACACAACGCACAGTCAACCCGTGGAATTCATTGCCAGGGAACATTATGAAGGCCAAAAGTAAAAGTGGGTTCAAAAGAGAATTAGATAAGTTCAAGTAGATCCATCAGTGGCTGTTAACCAAGATGGTCAGAGATGCAACCCCATGCTCTAGGTACCTTAATCTCTGACTGCCAGAAGCTGGGAATGGGCAACAGGGAGTGGATCACCTGATAAATTGCCCTGTTCTGTTCATTCCTTCTGAAGCATCTGGCACTGGCCACAGTAGAAAGACAGGACACTGGGCTAGATGGACCATTGGCCTGACCAGTATGGCTGTTCTTATGTTCTCAACAATTTAGGTGTTTTTTTTTCTCCTGCCAACTCGTGAATTTTCCTTTATTTAAAATGGCCACCATCTCCTATTACCATCAATGGGGCTGCTGCCAGAAAGATGGCTGCCATTTCCCTATGAATGCAGATGTGGAAATGAGGCTGCCTCCCAGAAAGATGGCTGCCACCTTCCACCATTTGTTTTCAGTGAAACTAAAATCATGCCTGCAGGCAAAATAGCTGCCACTATGGGGTGTGGGGAGCTAGATGGGATTCGGGTTGCCAGGTGTCCAGTTTTCAACTGGAATGCCAGGTCGAAAAGGGACCCTGGCGGCTCCAGTCAGCATCACTGACCAGGCCGTTAAAAGTCCAGTCGGTGGCACAGCAGGGCTCAGGCAGGCTCCCTTTCTGCCTTGGCTCTGCGTGGCTCCCGGAAGCAGCAGCATGTTCCCCCTCCGGATCCCACATGTAGGGGCATCCAGGGGGCTCTACATGCTGCCCCGCCTCAAGTGCTGGCTCTGCAGGTCCCATTGGCCAGGAACCATGGACGCCTGTGGACGGAGCAGTGCACAGAGCCGCTCCTACACGTAGGAGTGTGTGTTGGGGGACGGGGGGGACAGGACATGCCAATGCTTCCGGAGCTGCTTGAGGTAAGTGCCGCCCGGAGTCTGCACCCCTGACCCCCTCCCATGCCCCAACCCCCACCCCAGCCCTGATCCCCCTCCTGCACCCCAAATCCATCATCACCCGCCTCACACCAGAGCCCACACTGCAACCCAGAACCCTCACCCCCCAGCACCCGAACCCCGGAGCCCCCTCCCACACCCTAACCCCCTGCCTCAGCCAGGAGCCCTCTCCCATAATCCAAACCCCTCAGCTCCACCCCTCAGCCCGAAGCTCCCTCCTGCACGTGAAACCCCTCATCCCTGGCTCCACCCCAGAGCCTGAACCTCCAGCTGGAGCCCTCACATCCCAGCCTCCAGCCCCCACCCACTAGGTGGATCAGCAGAGACTGCGGGGATTGTTCTTCTTCCTTTTCCCCATGCTGGCCAGTGATGAGGCTAACTAGAGTAAACAGCAGATTTGAGCCACGAAAGTGGCCAAACTGAGGGCTGCCGTGAACCTCTGAGACGAGCAAATCCTCCAATAAAGTGCAGGACCCACCAAGGCAGAGGAGGAACTTTGTCACAATATATACATACAGAGAACGTTATTTAGTACATCAGTACAGACCTGGCCGCTTGCAATGGGTCAGGTATACCACCTGGTGGGCATTGGTATTAGCAGGAACAGTGTGTTAGAGATACAAGTTTTTGTTTCCTAGAGTAAAGCTACCTTGATAAGAAGGCAGTATGTATTTCACTTCCGCATCCTTTCCAAGTCTGTGCTTATTATTAATGCAATTAGTAAGTATCTTGTGATCGTATAATGAAACCTTGTACTTTACTGCATAACTTCAAGTGGCAGAGTGAAAGGCCTGATCTATCCACAAACTGGAAATGGCTTAATTAAACTGGTTTAGTAAAACCATTGCAATCCCCTTATTGAATTTTAAGGGTGCCTACTTTGGGTTAGCTTCAGCCTGTTAGCTTTTTCCTAATCCATTTAAACTGAACTGAACTAAGTCGCTCTTAAACCAAAATAAGAGGTTCCATAGAGAAGCTAGCTCCAGTTTGATTAAGTTAGTTTAAATTCACACCTTTAGTTAAATTTGGTGTAACTTGCAGGGGGGCTGGAACAATTTATATAGTGGGGGTGCTGAGAGCCATTGAACCAAACTGTAAATCCTGGATATAATGGAAACCACTTCAAGCCAGAGCGTGCAGCAGCACCCCTAGTTTCAGCACCTATGGTAATTTGCTGCATGGATAAGTGCAAAGTTGCTGTAGAAACTGTAGTTCTTAACTTCCTGAATTTGGCGGTTTTAAAATCTCAAATGTAGCACTATGAGTTTTTACACTGAATTCCCTCAAACACTAAGGAAAAAAGATACATTATCAAATACTTTCCCATTTCATAGGCTTCAGTCCCTTTCCACCAGGGCCCAGAAGACGATATATAAAAGTTATGCAAGCGCCATAGACGTTGTACACCTATAATGTGGTGCACTTATGGTGGTCTCAAAAACTTTTCCCTCCCTCTCTCTCTCCTAATCTAACAACTTTTTCAACACTTGTCTCCCTCCTTTCATATATCATAAAAATAGCATAAAAAGCTACTGTCAAAGCCAATGAGCGTTATATTCAAGAAGGTGGCTCTAAGCATATAATCATGAATAGCAGCTGTTTGGAAATCAGTATTTTGTTGGCACTGTGGAAGTGTTATTGGCAATACCATGAATATTACAAACATGCACATACATCAACCATCAGGAGTAGGTATCAGTCAATTTTAAAAATTTGTGTATTTTTTTAAGACAATCAAAACAATTAGGCCCCTTGATAAGCACTAACCACACATCCCTTTACACTTACAACAAAGTGCTTTCAATTACTAGTCTCTCCAAATGCATCTTGAACTCAGATGAACTTGTGTTTTATGTTCCTGTAATTAACAACAACAAAAAATGACCAAACTGACATTTTTCGAGCTTGCCAAAAACATGTTTTCAGACCGAGTCGGGAGTTTGCCAAGTTTCAGCCTGAAAACAATCCATTCCGAGCAACCAGAGATAGAGATTTGTCCTGAAAAAACCCTCCCATCTCAGCGTTGAATATAGCATCAGTAATGCCACACTAACAAAAGTACAGCTTTTGCCATGGCTTTGAGCCAGACACTGTTTATATCAACTGAGAATCTGGCCCTTTATTAACAGGCTAGCTGATGAGTGACTCAAGCTGTTGTTGTATCTTTTCTCAGGAAACAAGAAGCAAGTTACCCAGCAGGCCAAGTAGCTGGCAACATTGCGCATGAATCATGGAAGCGCCAGAATAGATTACAAGAGTTATCCTACCCACCATACATTTGGCAGCTTTGCTACCGTGTAATTCCCACAATATTTTTGTCTAAGTATTGGAGAGCTGCAGTGATGGAGGTGGCCCGGTATGTTGGTCAATCAGGTGTTTTATGACAGACAAAGCTAATGGGGGTTAAAGTGGAAGGTGAACTTCATTTGGGTCTCTGAAATCCCAAGACGTCAGCCCTGGATTGAGAGGCCTTTGAGAAGTCAGCTTGTGCAAGAAGGGAGTTTTATCCTTCTCTTCGGTGGGAAGAGAGTTAGGCCAATGCTGAGTGCTTCTGAAAACTCCACCCAGCCTCTTTCAGTACTGGGCTGGACTGAGATTTCTTGACTGGGTTGATTGAAGTTGGCTGGGGTTGATTGAGGCTCCACTTCAGGTCCAACTTTAGGTTCAAACTAAATGCATAATTAGAAAATTTAGAGGGTAGGCCTCACTTTCTTGCATTGCAGGGAGAAGGACACAGCACACTTACAGATATTGAGAGGGCCTGGTCTGTACAGATATTGATAGGGACTGGTCTGTAATTGCTGGCTTGCAAAACCTGGTCTGTGTTTCTGCCCCTACTGTCATTCCAGATCTTGCTTTCAAACATGAAATGCGGAGGTTTGGGGTAACAGAAACAGTCTCTCACGCTAAGACCTAGTCTACTCCCAGCTTTTGTACCAGTATAACTATGTTGGGTAAGGGAGGAACTGTTTACTAAAATAGTTATACCAGTACAACCGCCTGTGTGGAGGCAGTTATAACAGTATAGATTATTCCCCTTCCCATACATAGGAAGCAGCAACAGTGGCATAAAAGGTGCCTTATTCCACGAAAGTTGTGTCAGCACTGAGGGTTGTACTGTTATAATGATATCAGTACAGTCAAAGGGGTACAACTTTTGTGTATAGACAAGCCCTCAGCATTTAAACAGAGCCCAAATCAACAGATCAAAGTGAAGCTGCCTAAGGGATTTAGGAACACAACCTTGCGTTAATTGAAATGGGAGCTGCGTGAGCAGAGTTTAGGCCCAGAAGGGACCACCCAACCATCTAGTCTGACCTCCTATATAGCCTGCTTTGAAAAATCTCAACCCATAGCTTTGCTAGAGAGCTCCAATCAAATGGGCTGATTTTAAAAAGTGATGATGAGCACCCACAATGTTCGCTAGCACCAGTCAGCATCTGCAGATGCTCAGCACCTCTCTGGATCAGACCCATGGACTGGTATATGGCAAGGAGGTTGTTATTTTTAAGGGAAAGCCTTCTATAGTGGGCAGAGCATCACATCACATTGCTGAGAGCTCAGGACTAATGGAAACTAACAAAAATTGCAGTGAAGAGAGCAAGGAGACCAAAGATTTTAAGCAAATATGAAACCAGGGAGTGGTTTGAAGAGTCGCGCAACACGCGCGTTCTTGTGGGTTTGATGATCCGTGCCCTTTGGGTCAGGATGGCATTTCTGGCTCCATCCCACTTCCCCGGGCCGGTCAAGCGGAACTGGAAGGGGCTGCAGGGGCCAAAGTAAATCGTCAGGGCCAGCTTGGGATCCTTCAGGAGCAGCGGAAGGATTCTGGGTCTCGCATCCGAGCCTTCGGCGAGCTCATCCAGATATTCAATGTGATCGGTTTGCAACGTCTGGCTGCGGCTGGTACCAAACCTTAGGAGAGAGCAAAGAAACTGTCAGAACTGTTCAGTGATCCATGTACATTGAACCTGATACTCCCGATTTATACAGTTCTAAAGGGATGTCATGTAGAGAACTGGCAAATACCACGCTAACCTATTGCTAAGAAGGGAGAAAGACAGGGAAGTGGACAAGATATGGGAAGATTGAGAAATAATGGAATTCAGAGCCACAAGAAGCACCCCAGAGAGACTTTTGGGTAGCGCAGCTCTCTGATGTAGCATCCAGTTAGAGCAAAGCTAGCTTGAGTGAAGCTGTGGCAGCATGGGCAGCTGCTCGGGTCAGCCCCCCAGCTCATGACTCTAGGTACACATTCAAGCTGCCATGATTACATTGCTATTCTTAATCAAGATCAGAGCTACCTCTGGTATGTCTACACGTGCTGCAATCCCATCTCCACATTGCAATGCAGACATACCCGAAAACTGGCTGAATTGTAGTTACCTCCATGCGAAAAAACTGTAGATCCCAATTTTCAGAGAACAAGGCACATTTACCGAACGTTGGTGTCAGCAGGTTACGTACTATTTCTGAAGAAGCCGGCATGTTTGCATTACAAATAATATCATCCTACCTAGTGCATTTCTCATACCTTAGACAATCTTAATCCCTTTCAGCTGCAGTTGAGTCCCCAGTATGGGCTTACAGGGACAGATTTTCAGAAGTGTGTGCACACAAACCACCTACATCTAACAGGTCATTTGGCATGTGCAATAGTGCTGCTCTGACTGAAGCGTGTACAAATGTGTTCACATTTTTGCTAGCAAACCCTAAGGATCACAGCTTCGTAGTCAGAGATGGAAAAGAGCTGTTCTACTCAGACCATCTTCCTACACGCCCCGAAACTCTATAGTATGTCATCAAAGGCAAGATGGGACCACCAATCTGCTAGTCTGACCTCCTGTACATCTCAGGGCACCAACACCACCCAACAACCAAAATTAGACCACAGTATTACAGCCCACAGGTGACTACCAGTGATTTCAGGTTAACATTAGAAAAATGGAAAACTTTTCAATTCAAAAGACACCCTGTGAAATATTTCATGGGCTGGAATGAGCAGAACTTTATGCAAAGAATTATTGCTATGCATTCAGAGCTTGGATATGACAGCAATGGATGCTACAGAGAAACTCCCAACTCCAATTTCTGCAACCTGCTGAGCCCTTAACTCTTGGCACTTCAAGTATTAGGCACACAGATTAACATTTCCAGAGGACCAGCTTGTGGTATAAGCTTCACATTTTTGTGGGATAAGGAAGCTAGTGAGCCTGGCCAACTTCTACTGTAGCTGCCTTCAAAAGAGGTCTCTCTCTGATCAACAAAATAAACTATGTGAAAGACCCTTGGGGAAATTCGTATAGGCTCTCTGATGAGGATTTGTAATGGACCAAAAGGGCATGTGGTTTAAGGATGATGAATATAATATCCAACACCCACCAATCTGAAGGAGGATAAAACCCACTGCCATTCTTACACAGGAGTGAAAAGGGAGATGGCAGACACACCACAGGGAGGCTGGATCTAAAGACAGTGGCAGCAGAGTTCTGGAAAGTGGTCTGAAAGGTGTCCTGTTTTCCTTTCAGTGCAAGCATGAGAATTGCATTTCGTTGCCACAAAATAGCAGAAGGCATCCTTGGCTAGTTTGGGGTGATGTTCATCACTGGCTACTAGGAATAATCAAGAGACTACACTGATATATGTGGTTGACATGGTTCCATAACCCTTTTTCCTGTGGGCAGTGGAATTGTGCAAGTGTGGTTAAAGTATTCAGTCTGGAGGGAATACACACACAGGTCTGGCAGCCAGAAAAGAAATGAGGGGAACCCAAATACTCAAGGCATTTGTAATATCTGCCAGCGAGCTAGTCATTGAGCAGATGGAGTATATTTTAAACACATGAAGACATGAATGCCAGTGAAAGCTTCTAGAAGACTTTGGACTGTATTTTCTGAGAAGGAGCATGAGAGGAAGGAGAAATACAATTTCCTCCATAAGTATAAACTGCTCCCATGATGAGTGGAGAATAATTATATTAATTAGGTGGTGTTTCATACCATTTGATCCTCTTCTCTTTCCTCTTGACAATGTCCGTCATCATAGTGCTCTTGGAGGGCAGCTCAGTCAGCCCTAGAAAATTAAAGTGGCTGTTACTTATAAGTTACAAGAATTACAGAGGGGCCCAAGCTTTGAAGTTCAGAGCTGGATTTGGGAAGCTTCCTGCCCTGGTCTGTTACATCAAGTAGTTTGCACATTCCACTACAAATGCTTAAAAGTGTTGCTTCCCCGAGGCCTCTGCCACAAAGGGGACTGAATTCTCCATCCTGTTGCTCTAGTTTTGCCATGGGGACTGTGGCAAGACAAATTCATTTAATCTGCCCTTATGACACCTGGCTCCAATTCAGCCTTGGGTCTCTGCGGCCCATCCTCCAAGTTACTTAGGCTCCTAACTTCCACTGACTTTGTGGAATACCTTGGCAGATCTGGGCCTCAGTGCTTTCACAAATACTCATTAAACCTTACAGCAGAGCACTCCTGTTAGACAGGGAGATATTGTTACTTATAACTAGCAAATCCTAATTTATGGCGGGCTGAAATCAATCATGTGGCAAGACAGTGCATTTTTCTAGTTGATCTCCTCAGTGAGGAGTTTGGTTTAAACTCTCAGAAGGGGAAGAAAAGCTTTTTCTGCTCCTCTAATTCCACCTTTCCTTTACAACGTTAGTTTAAAAGGATAATTCCTAAATTATGGTGCTCTGCCAGCAGCTTTTGTTTCTGTAGCACCATCAATGCTCATGACACGGTACAGAGAAGCCCTTGCAAGTTTACAGAGAGCTGCACAATGAGAGAGAATTCTAGTGTAGCTGTCTGAAAGATTGTTACATGCACCCAGAGCAACAATTACATGTATTGACTTTTCTTTTGGTTATTTTCAAGATTTGTTGTTCCTTAAGATAAGTTTTGACCCAAGAGGTGACTAAGTCTTGATATTTATTTCAAGAAGGGAAAAAATGTCTGAATATTATACAAATTTTACAGCTGGATAAATGGTCACTTGGCCAAAACCCTATGGTAGTAACTCAGTGCCAGAGCTGGAAATAGAACCCAGGACTCCTGGGTTCGACTTCTGTCCTTTAACTATTTGATAAACCACTAGATGAAACTGCTGCCTAGAAAAATATCAAAGCTGTTCATTCTTAAGTGAAACTTACATTTAGAAAGATTCAACCTAATGTGGGAATGCCTGTCTGTTATGAATAGGAGTCGGAGATTGACCTGTGCACTTCAGGAGACGAGTGCTTTAGTTTACCTTTTGTTCTTTCTGACAGCCCAACTGCTTTGCGAGATTATCAGAGAAGTAAGAGATAGTTGGGGTTGGTCCTGCTTTGAACAGGGGGTTGGACTAGATGACCTCCTGAGGTCTCTCTTCCAACCCTGATATTCTATGATTCTAAGTAAGATATCAGTGATGAAAGCAGTGGACACTAAACAACTGCTTCAGAAGACTGCTCTGTAAGAAGCGGAGCCTTGTTCCCTTTCCAGGTAAATATGCTTTCAGCTGTATTTCTGTGGCAGAAGCAACTCAGGGTCAAACCAGTTGCAGCTCACAGCTCTTGCTTTCTCCCCTGGTCCCTAATTTTACATATTTATTATAATGATCATATCCCATTGATATTCTCTGATCTCTTTTACTGATTCTTATTGGCTGCAGTGACACTTGTGGATAAGAATACCAACACCACAGTTCCCTGCTTTCAGATCTCTGGCAGTAAGCTACATTAGAGATTAATACATGTTAAGGCTGATGGGACCATTGTGATCATGTTGTTAGACCTCCTGCATCACACAGGCCAGGGAATTTCTGTTATTCCTGTATCCAGCCCATAACTTGTGGTTGAGCTAGATTAGAGCAGTTAATTACCCTCACTGTTTAAAAAAAATATCAGAAGTGGTCTGTGCAGACGGAGCATGCTAAGGAGGGATATTAAAGAGTCAGTCCCATGAGTGGGAGTCAACAAATGTGAAACTTTTGAATTTAGAACCTGCACTGGTGTCCTTTGCCATTTTCTCCCTGTCCTGTATTCCCATGTATCATTCTTATCTAAATCAAGCATGTAAACACCTTGCAGCAGGGACAATAAGCCAAATTGAACCCTGATGCAAAGGGCACTAGTACTGATTTCAATGGCAGTTGTGCCCACTTAAGGTTAAATCTGGTCACACGTTTGGCATGTTGGCAGTTATTACGCGTGGATCACAACATGCCCGTCCACTTACCTTTAAAGACTCTTGTGGCCCAGCGTGCCTGCAGCTCTGCATTAGGCATGATGGGCCCAAGCGGCTGTATGAGGCCAATGACAGCCAGCGTTGGCTTCTCCAGAGTAGGGGGGAAGACTTGTTTGTACAGCGGAGCCTCGTTGTTCTCCACTTTGATGACTGACTGCTCCAGGAAGGGGAACGAGAAGCTGTAGCCAGTGGCAAAGATGACAACATCCACGTTCTCCTCCATAGTCCCATCTTCAAAGATGGCAGCGGTTTCGGTGAACTCCTTCACAATGGGCTTCACCATCACACTGCCACAGAGGATGCGGCTTGGAAGGTCATCATTGAACACTGGCTCTTTCATCAGGGCTCTGGAAGGACACAAGATGGTAGAGGCATCTGGTTTGTTGAGGCCATGCAAACAGTGCGCAAAGTCCTTACATCCTAGCTCCCCTAAATAACCTGGGGGCTGCGAGGACTGAGTGCCAAAGATCCCACAGCTAGTCAGCTGCAGTGAAGCTGTTATTAATTTCACTCTATCAGGCATACCATGAAGAAGAGTAAGACTGAAGGATTGGAATGAGCTGACAAAATGCATATCGATAGGACTACGGACAAGAGGCGTAGGGTAGAAATAGCATGTTAGTAATACCCATTTTACACCCTGTTATCCCTATTTTCATAGGTCAGCAGGGTCTGTAGTAATAGAGTGTCACTGAATCATACAGTCATTCCAGGTTCCACACTTTGGGGCCAGTTCTTTCAGCGCAGCCATGGTGATATACTTGGAAGTTAAGGTCAAAAGTTTCAAGCGTCCACAAATTTGATGTATCCTCAGCCAGATTTCCAGGGGTGCTGAGCACCCACAGCTCCGACTGAAATAAGTTAACAGGTGCTGCAGGTCAGAAAGCGAGGCCTAAGGTGGCCCAGACTGGCCACCCAAAAGCTGAGGTGATCTAAGGGAGACATTTTTGACATTTCCGTTTAAATGGATGCATTTCCTCCTGCACTAGAAGGAGATTAGTTCCACATATCTAAGCCATTGGACTCTTCTCCTTTGAGTATCTAATTCTTGCCCTCATTGAAAGACTTGAATCAACTGTTTTATAAAATCTAAATAAATATTTGCTCTTTCCTGGTAGGACTTGGGTTCCCAAGAGCATTTTCCATATAGTTTTAGGACAGAGTTGAGCACTGCCAAGGACCCACTCCCCTCCACCAGCCCCAACTCCTCTCCCTCCTCCCCGGAGATTTATTTTCCTGGAGAATGTACATGTTTTGATCTTGGACCTTTTCCTGGCATTTTAAGCAGAGATGGGTCCAACCCTTCACATCTGAATCCAGATTTCAAACAATCCCAGTGTTTTGGGGGGTTAAGATTGGAGGGTTAGTTTGGTCTACTGCAGGATTAAAAAAGAATTACACGTGTTTGTGGATAATGAGAACATCCAAAAATGTACACCCTCATGCTTCAGGGCATAATCTGACCACTAAATGATGGTGGTTAGGAAGAAACTTGCCCATGATTGTCCATAATTGCCCACTACTGAATTTCTTGCACGTTCTCCTGAAGCATATGGCCCTGGCCAGTGTCAGAGACAGACTGAGGTAGAGAGCCCTCAGGTCTGATCTAGTCCTGCCAGTCCTATATTCAGTAAGAGTTTAGCCTGAGTAAGGAGTAAGTGAAGCATGAGTGAGGACAGAGTATGGCCTCATAATAATTACATGATTCAGATTGCTTTTCCTCTCCAGCTACCCATAGATCAGCTGCACGTTAAAAGTGCATACCTGTTCTGAGGCACCAAGCCGTAGTTTTCATGGTTAAACCATTGGTTCATCTTCTGTTCATACACCAGTTTCAAAAGTGGCCAAGGCAGGATACTTCTGATCAGATTGCTAAATCGGGTGTGAAATACAGTGTCCCAAGGGTAGCCGTCATCGTAGACCCGGCTCATTACCCATGAGCCTCCTCTGGTGCTGATGAACACCTACAAGGCAATATAGAATTCCACTTTAAGCAGTGACAATCTTCTGCAGCATGTGCATTGTTTGCATTGCAAATCTCAGCCTAGTTTTATCTCCAGACATTGAACATCTTCTCCTGCTTGAGGCTACCAAGGTCAAAACAATAGAGAACAATGTCTCAGAACAGAGTCAGGGGGCTGGGAAAAAAAAACCCACTTCAGATTGCTTTTCATAGTGGAGGCTGATACTAGATGTACCAGTCTCAAAGGAAAGGTGATCTTTTCTAACTCAGGAGAGCTGGATTTGGCTCCAGCCTCCCTTTGTGACCCTGGGAAATTGCTTAACTTCTCCATGCCTCAGTTTCCCACCTGTACAATGGGGATAACACCACTTCTTTTCTCCCACCCTTTGCCCATCTTGTCTTTTTAAATTGTTGGCTGGCCTGAGTGCAGGACCTTTTGCTGTGTGTATGTACTGGGCCTAGCCCAATGGAACTGTGATTGCAGTTGGGGCCACTAGGCCCTACTGAAATGCATAGAATAAACAATCAAAATAATAGCAACCAATCGTTAGAGGCCTTTTTCCTGCTCTAGAGAAGCAAAGATTTGGGCTTTAATGCCTGGGATGCTGCGTATTCTAGGTGATCGCTATTCTTAATAAGTCTCTGGGCCACAGTATACTGACGTGGGGTGTAATTTACTTACATGCCACATCAGTATATGTTATGGATGCAGTATATGGATGCCTTCTACCGCCCTCACCCCAAATCACAAGGGTAGCAGGCTAAGTGACACTACCCGTTTGGCTATCTGACAGAGGTCCACAGCAATATCCGATGCAGAGTTCCCCATTCCAATCACCACAACCGTCTTCCCCTGAAATCCTTCCGGGCTCTTGTACTCCCGGCTGTGGAAATATTGGCCCTTGAACTTTTCGATACCTACGAGGAGAGAAGGAAGGATTGGAATCTCAGTGCAGAGATGGATTTTAAACTGCTAACGCTCAGGGTATGTGATTGTTCCAGGGTCCTGGGTGGGCAGGGCTAACCTGCTTGTACTGCCATGGCTTCACCGCTAGTGTTACTCAATCTAGCTTTGATCTAGCTGGGCTACACATGCTGCAATCACACCTCCTGATTGCAGTGTAGACATACCCTCAGCACCAGACTTGGAGCATCTTAAAATTCTGGGGCATTTGGCTGCAGGTTTTGTGGGGATGTCAATTGGTTCGGCCTGTTATGAAGATAAAATTCAGATCCAAGTTTCAGAGTAGCAGCCGTGTTAGTCTGTATCTGCAAAAAGAAAAGGAGTACTTGTGGCACCTTAGTGACTAACAAATTTATTTGAGCATAGATGCATCTGATGAAGTGAGCTGTAGCTCACGAAAGCTTATGCTCAAATAAATTTTGTTAGTCTCTAAGGTGCCACAAGTACTCCTTTTTTTTTTTTTCAGATCCAAGTTTGTATTTCAACCCTTCCTCTCCCTCCCAGAGTTTAGAGACATTGAGATGTAGGGTGTTTGGCGTGAGAAGACATCTAGGTATGCTTTACTAGAAAGAAAAATGAGAAGTTTCAGTGGAGAGCAGTGCCTTTGATTTGTGGACACATTGGGTGTAACCCTCGGGCCCTCTTCCACCTGCTGTATACTGCTCATGCAGTGAACAGGATGAATGTTGATCGAAAAGGCTGGAGATCCCCCCCGCTGCACACTGTTCTTTGGAGGTGTGGGAGGGATGTGCCGGGGCAGGGCAGAGCACTGGGTGCAGGTGGCATAACATGGCAACTCTGAAGATGCTTTAAGTTATCCCAGGGGCTATGTTCCTAATCTGGTACAGAACTGGGGGACTGGAAAGGTGGCCCCCCACTCCTGAGCTGCATCGAGTATACACTCATTGCTGTAGAGGTTTGAGCCCTTTGCCTGCAATCATTGCCTGCAATTGGGTGGGGATGCCAGCTGGCCTGTGCCAAATGTTAAGAATGGAGCAAATACTTGAGTGTGCCTGGTATGTTTGGTCAATCCACTCAAAGGCCTAGCTGCCTCCTGATGTGTGTTTGTGCCAAACTTTGATCGTGCCAACAATTTTGCTTCAGTACCAGGAAAAACCATTCCACTAAAGTAGAAACTGAACCAACCTTTGTCGAAAACCAACTGACCCCAAACTTTACTTTTACTGGAAGAGCTGAAAATATTGGAGAGGGTGAGAATTTAAACATTGTGACTGAGATTTTTCAGGGCAAAAAGAAGAGAAGGAAGAAGAAAGCTAGCAGAGAAAAGAAGAATATGGCAGTGGAGGTGCTATTATATATATAAAATACACACCAATATAGGAGAGACAACAGAATCAAACAGATAACAGCTTCCTGATTTGAACCCTGCATTGTTCATGGCCAGGTATTTGGTGAATGTACAGGATTTCGCAATGCTCTTCCTTTAAATTAGTCTCGTATCAGGAAAGCAAACAGCTGGGCCCTATATAGCACACATTGAAGTGAATGGAAACATATCCATTGGCTTCAGAGGATATGGGATCCAGGCCCATCTGCTTGCTGAAGTAATGATTTGGATAATCCAATAACTGTAATGCTTCCAAGGGACTAAAGCCTCAAGAGAGACAGGAAGGAATAATCAGATCTGGAGGAATCATTAAACCGGTCATGCAGCGAGCCATAGGCTCTCATATCGATACAGGAATACAAACAATTGTCCCTAGCTGTTCCTGGTTTTGCACCTTGTTAACCTGGACCCCAAATACATCCTGTAGGAGGGCTTTGCAAACACAGCTCTTACCAGGAAAAGACTGCACCGGGATAAAGGATTCTATATGGTGACCCATGCACACCATAACGGCATCAAACATGGTGGATTCTTGCTTCCCATCACTCTCAGTGACAACAATCCACTGGCCAGTGGTAGAGAAATCCGGGCATTTTCTTACACTGGTGACTGTGGTCTGAAAGTAAACCCGAGAAAAGACATCGGTGCTTTGGCCGCAGCACCATGTGTTAGAGGTGATCTATTGTGACTCACATACTCAGAGGAGCTCAGAAGCTAAGATTGAACTGGGCTCCACATTCAGGTTTGACTTAAAGCAGGAAGTTAACTACGTAGTTTACAGGCCAGAAATGGGTATATTTAATCCAGCCTGCTTGACAGATCCAGACTTTCCAGAATGCTAGCTTTCATTTAACCGACAAGGAAGATTGTAGCCCTTACTGCTGCAAACATAACCTTCCAGCCGTGAAGGGAACATAGTACTGCTGAAGCCTGAAACAGCTCAGAGATGAGTGAATTGGTCCAGTTCACCTTAACTGGGCATTAACTCCTATGCCTTATGGTGACATTTTGGCTGTGTCTACACTAGGGTTTCATGCCCAAAGTTTTCCCCCCCTTGTTCCCACTCCACTGGTGGTAGCAATGATGGCAACGCTAGGCTGATCAGGTTCCTGTTGCTGCTGGCTTTTATTACCTGTTGCCTAGCATTGCCCAGAGCAGATCTGGGTGACAGAATGGTAAAAATGTTGCTACCACTAGTAGAGTTGAACCGCTGGTAGCAACCGTGAAAACTTCTGGCTACAAGCCTGGTGTAGACGAAAGCTGAAAGGGGAAAGTTTTCAGATAGCTTAGGTTGCAACTGTGCATCTTGTTTGCACACACAATAACTACACCTCTGCATGCAAAATGGCCAACTGCATGTTCAAACACAAAAACAAAGTTCAGAAATAATCCTAGTGTTAGAAGTACCATGCATCATTTATCCCCACTCCGTGATGGTGAATGCGACAGTAACCAAACTCACGGAAACATTTTTCAAACTGCCCTTTAATTTTGGGCGTGTCAGCAGCCAGGGCTGGATTTTCCAGGTGCTGAGCACTCATGTTTCCAAATGACTTGGAGCTATGGGTGCTCAGCGCTTTGAATATCAGGCCACAGAAATCTTAACTGGAATACCCCCAAATGTGAAGCAAAATATATGGACACATTGGCGTAAATGTTAGGTTGCTATATGAGGCCCAAGGGATGATGTGCAAATTTGCCAAAGGATTACATTCTCATCACTGAGAGATCCATTCTGGAGTGATCATAGAACATGGGTCCCAGTTCTGTAGACCCCACCTATGGATCTTGTGACTTCTTGAGGCAGAGGGCATTGGTTGCACAGGGTTTTACAGGGATCCCCTTAGTCAGATATGTGCATAAGTATTCACTAAAGGGTGGTATATGCTGTCTTTACCAAGTTTCAGAGTAGCAGCCGTGTTAGTCTGTATCCGCAAAAAGAAAAGGAGGACTTGTGGCACCTTAGAGACTAACAAATTTATTTGAGCATAAGCTTTCATGAGCTACTGTCTTTACCAACAGTCAGTAACACACTGGTCAGAGTCATTATGAGCAGGGCTGTTGATTAATCACAGTTAACTCACGCTATTAACTAATTTTTAAAATCACAATTAATTTTTTTTAATCGTGATTAATTGCAGTTTTAATCACACTGTTAAACAATAGAATAACAATTAAAATTTATTAAATATTTTGGATGTTTTTCTACATTTTCAAATATATTGATTTCAATTACAACACAGAATACAAAGTGTACAGTGCTCACTTTATATTATTTTTATTGCAAATGCTTGAAGAAATAGTATTTTTCAATTTTCACCTCATACAAGTACCATAGTGCAATCTCTTTATTGTGAAAGCACAGCTTATAAATGTAGATTTTTTTCTGCTACATAACAGACTCAAAAACAAAACAATGTAAAACTTTTGCGCCTACAAGTCCACTCAGTCCTACTTGTTCAGCCAATTGCTAAGAGAAACAAGTTTCTTTACATTTACGGGAGATGCTGCTGCCCGCTTCTTATTTACAATGTCACCTGAAAGTGAGAACAGATGTTTGCATGGCATTTTGTAGCCGGCGTTGCAAGGTATTTACGTGCCAGATATGCTAAATATTCCTATGTCCCTTCATGCTTTGGCCACCATTCCAGAGGGCATGCTTCTATGCTGATGATGCTCATTAAAAAAATAATGTGTTAATTAAATTTGTGACTGAACTCCTTGGGGAAGAATTGTATGTCTGTTTTACCCACGTTCTGCCATATATTCTGTTATAGCAGTCTTGGGTGAGGACCCAGCATATGTTGTTTGTTTTAAAAACACTTTCACTGCAGATTTGACAAAACGCAAAGAAAGTACCAATGTGAGATTTCTAAAGATAGCTACAGCACTCAACCCAAGGTTTAAGAATCTGAAGTGTCTTCCAAAATCTGATCAGGATAGGGTGTGGAGCACGCTTTCAGATGTCTTAAAAAAGCAGCACTCCAATGTGGAAACTACAGAACCTGAACCACCAAAAAAGACAATCAACCTTCTGCTGGTGGCATCTGACTCAGATGATGAAAATGAACATGCGTCGGTCTGCACTGCTTTGGATCGTTATCGAGCAGAACTCATCATCAGCATGGACGCATGTTCCCTGGAATGGTGGTCGAAGCATGAAGGGACATATGAATCTTTCGTACATCTGGCACATAAATATCTTGAAATGCCAGCTACAGCAGAGACATGAGAATGCCTGTTCTCACTTTCAGGTGACATTGTAAACAAGAAGCAGGCAGTATTATCTCCTGCGAATGTGAACAAACTTGTTTGTTTGAGTGATTGGCTGAACAAGAAGTAGGACTGAATGGACTTGTAGTCTCTAAAGTTTTACATTGTTTTATTTTTTTAATGCAGTTACTTTTTGTACATAATTCTACATTTCTAAGTTCAACTTTCATGACAAAGAGATTGCACTACTTGTATTAGCTGAATTGAAAAATACTATTTCTTTTGTTTTTTACAGTGCAAATATTTATAATAATTATAAAGTGAGCACTGTTTACTTTGTATTCTGTGTTGTAATCAAAATCAATATATTTGAAAATGTGGAAAACAGCCAAAATATTTATATAAATAGTATTCTATTATTGTTTAATCATACAATTAATTTGTTTAATCGCTTAACAGCCCTAAGTATAAGATGTATGGATGGATGATATTTAAGGAGTTATGTATCTGAACCAAAAACCCCAACCCCCCACCCAAAAACCCCTCACACCCAATGTGTGGTGGGCATCCTATTTACTAGTAAAGACAATGGATTGGAAGTGTATTGCAGAGAGACGCCCTGGGCTCTTTCATTGAGGAGATGAACTATCAGCGTGTTATCTTATGAAAGGAGCGTCACAGCCCACCTGGCTGGAAAACACTGCAAAAACTTTGAGGGAGCTCAACTGCATTAAGCTAAACTTACACTTGATTTCCCTATGAGCCTGTCTAAGTGCTGGGTGTGACGGAGAGCGGTGATCTGAGGTGGGATTGGTAAACTGGGGTACACTGCTTCTTTGGGAGCAGCACAGTGGTGAATTCTGTGAGCATGCAGCGGACCGGGGCTGGACGCTCCAGATAGATGCTTGGAAGTTGGAGTACACCTATCGCTAACCTGTGGGGAGGAGAGCACAGACCTAGAGGGCATTGCTTGTGTTGCCTATGGAGCTGGGGAGCTGATGCCCAGCTGGTACAGTTGGGGCTTGCTCATGAGAAGGGTGGGCGGTAGCAAGGTGCCTCACAGCCCTGGGTGCTCCTGGAGAGCATCACAGACCCCAATTAATTGTGCAATTTGGCCCTTGTAAGAGAATGAGTTGGAAACACCTAGTTTAAAGCAATTTAAGAAACGCAAAGAAAAATGATGCTTTGGTCTTTTTATCCTATCCACTAGCCTAATCTCTTCACACTGTTCCTTGTCCTGACATGCTGGGGTAGAAACAGGGGTTGGGACTGAATCCACGAGAAAAAGGCCAGAATCCTGTAAGTGTCCCCTCTCACTATCGGGGGCTTGGTCAGAATTTTGATCGATCATCTACCCTGTTGAATCTGAATCTGCTCAGCATCTAATCCATGCCCCTGCTGCCCTTTCTCCTGTGGCCGCATTGTCCCTTTTCAGTCACCGTGTGACAGTCTCATCTCTCTTCCATAATATTGGGCTCTGCAAGCCTTCCCCAGGTCCTCCACCCAGCAGAGAGTTAACCTGAAGAGTATTATCAGAAAGCAATCTGTTCCCCAGAAGCCAGGTCAGCTATAGTTCTAGAGACATAAGGTGCTGGAGGTAATATTGTTTATTGGACCAACTTCTGTTGGTGAGACACACAAGCTTTTGAGCTTATGCAGAGCTCTTTTTCAGTGTAAGCTCGAAACCATGTCTCTCTCACCTGCAGAAGTTGGTCCACTAAAAATATTACCTCTCCCACCTTATTTTGCATATATCCTGGGACCAACATGGCTATAACAACACTGCATACAGTTGTAGTTCTAAACACACATGCAGAATTGGTAGGTTATGTTATGTAACTAGCCGTTCTGAAGTTGTGCTCTATCTCATGCAGACTTTACTTTTGTTCTTTCTTATTCTGTTGTTTTCCTTAACCCAAAAGACAAGTTATATAGCCTATAAGTAGGGGACTGGCTTTTGTGTATAGGAAATAAAAAAGTAGCAGGACCCTCTTTTAATAGGACATACCTTGAACCTGATGTATTTCAGAAGATCAAAGCGATTTGCGTACAGTTTCAAATATTCCAGGAATCTGGTGTTGTGCAGGAAGTTTGGAAAGTGTTCAGGCATTGGAAAGTCACTGAAGCACGACATCTCCTTGGAGGAATTGGTGAATACGGATTGGTAGATACTGGCTCTGCCTTCCTCTACCTTTTCCTAGAAAACATCAGACAAACAAAGGTGTATTTTAAAATGTTACTAGATAGTGCAAATCCACAGAGTTTTCCATGTTGCTGTGTGACACTCATTGAGTCTGAAGGTTTGTGATGGCCCAACGCATTGTGTGGGCTCTCGCTTCTGTTTAAGCTTCCCAATGAAGAGCCAAAGTGATCTTTCTTGCCACAAGTTTTTCTTTGTAGCAGATGTTCTCCTTTGTGAGGACGGTCTTGTAGTTAAGAGGCTGGGCTGAAACTCAGGAGACGTGAACTGCAGATGCACTATGACACCTTGTGGAAGTCACTTAGGCCCAGATCCAATGGAAGTTAGGAACCTAAATACCTTTGAGGATCTCTCTGGACCTCTGTTTCCCATCTGTAAAATGGGGATAATGCCACTGCCTTTTTCCTGTGCTTTGTCTATTGAGATTGTTAAGTTCTTTGAGGATGTCTCATTTGGTGTATGTACAGTACTAACACAATGGGACCTTGCTGGGGCATCTAGATGATGCTGTGATACAAATAATAAACAATGGTACACATGAATGCTGCTGTTGGAGTAGCTCTTATGGCTTGTCAGTGGTCTTTGAATGCTTGGCTCATGGTGTTACTGAAGTTTGAACAGGTCACTATTTCATGGCTGTCTACAATCATTTACAGTCCTCTCCCATGTTGCAAGATTTCTGCAAGACTCATTTGTGTCCTAAGGGCTTCTTCCTCCTTCGGCAGACATACAGAAAAAGTATTAATTGCTTCAGCACAGAATTGCATGCTTGCCCTAGTGTCCATAGACTATTTACACTGGCACCATAATTCAGCTACATTTTTAACTGGGGGAATGGCAGTATAAACTGCAATATACCATTCCCGGTTGCTGTCTAATGAGGTCTGTCTCATTGCTGTCTAAATTCTTCTAGGGCAACATTTCGTCCCTGACATTACATGGTAGAGACCTCCTGTCAAACACAGCGTGGTGTACATATAATTTATATTAAAAAAAAAAACCATCAAAACACTCCACAGCGTGCGCAATTCTCTCCTTTGGGAGAGAGTGAGAGAAAGAACAAACCATATGTGACAGAGCTTAGTCATGTCACTTAACGCATGACTGGAAGGTGCTCAGGTATTTTGGTAATGAAGGTATTTTGGTAAGAATCTCTCTAGAATTTCCATCAAGGCTGCATTTGATCCTTTCTATGAAGTATAAAATTAAACTCTACATTTACAAACACACATTTGGCATGATTTTGTCTCTTCTTGCTGGGGTGCTAGAGGAATTGCTGTGTATGTACAGTGCTTGCAGTGTGGCTTCTAGCCACCACCAGTGCTGGGGCAATTTTTTCTTGGCGGGTGATTATTTAAATATTGCCCAACACAGATCCCATTTGTTTATACACAGTCACTGAGACCCAGCTGAGAATTAACAGGTTATTGAATTCCAGCAGCCATAGGGTTTCCAGTTTTGGTTGGACATATTCCTGGAGGTTTCATCACATGACATATTAATCTTTAATTAAAAATTAATGTTTAATTTCTGGAGACTCCAGGACAATCCTGGAGGATTGGCAACCCTACCAGCAAGTCCAGATACATTGCAGCTGGATCACTCCACTTACTTGACATGGCAAAAAAAATAAATCTTCTTTGGGTTGGAAAGAGGGGGGACTGCAACCCAGGTTCCTCTTTGTGCCAACTGGCAGACGGCTCAGGGGTGTGAAAGGGTTATAGGGATCCCCAAACTTGTCACGCTGTGTGCTGCCCTCCACCCCAGAGCCATGGTTGGGAGCCAGGGCCAGGAGCAGGGCCACAGCTCCTGAGGGGGTGCACAGACAGAGGTAAGGGGGGCCAACGCTGGGGCTGGAGCTGTGGCCAGGAGCCAGGGGCCATGGCCGGGGGGGCAGAGGGCCAGCTGGGGGCTGGGCTAGAGCAGGGGCCAGGAGCGGAGCCATGGCTGGGCTGCAGTCAGTCAGAGGCTGAGGCTGGCAGAGGGTCTGGGAGCGGAGCTATGACTGGACCATGGTCGGGGCTGACTGGGTATGGAACTGTGGCCGGGCTGGGAGCCAGAGGTCGGGTGATGCTTCCTCCGCAGCCCATCTCTGGCAGCTGGTCTGGGCCCCACTGTGCCCCCGAATGTTCCTCCACACCCTTAGCACCCCATAGTTTAGGGACCCCTGCCATAGAGTGTCATGTAAGGTCTCTACTGAAAGCCTGTGTCACACTGGTCACCATACCCACTGGGAGATGTATATATATATTTTTTTCACCATAAAAGGTTTACTTTCTTAATCATTTACATCTTTTACTTTTGGCTTGACTCAAATTTAGATGTAGAGGCCCTCAATGAGGATAATCGTCGTCTCTTGGCTATCTGCTCCTGGCATTTTTCCTTGTTGCTAGGCAGACGCACAATGTAAAGTAAAACACAAGCCAAACAAGAAAACTTACCATCTTGCCCAAACTTTTAGGTTTTCTTTAGACATCATAAAGACACAGAAAAATGGCACATATCTTTTTTTGTTTTTGCAGGTTGCCTTGATTACATACTGTTCTCTCAATCTTTCCCCCCCCACAAAGGTTTCACTAGGGGGTAAACAAACCACATTAGCACAATTAACTCATGGGGGGTGAGGGAGGGGAGATAAACAGTTATTCAGACAGCTGTGGAAGTGAACATAAAAACAGCCATCAGTAATATGTTTATGTTTAAAGGACAGAGGGAAATAAATGAACTCTCAGACAAAATTTAAGTTGCCACATTTAGAGTTGTTGAACTCGGTTGAAATGCCATGGAGATACATCTGCTTACCCCAGGTCTGAATTTAACACAATGTCATCTTGATCTCAGGGAAATACAGCATGAGCCAGTAAATTTACTTTTAGAATTGTGTGATTAAATGTAAAACCTGTATCATGCACTGCTACATTTAACATATGTGAACACACAAAATGTGGGGAAATGCAAGAGCTAAGACCAAAAAGGAAGAAATATTGACCTTGGGTCCTTCATTTGTTGCTTTATGAAAAATGAATGAGAGTGAAAAGGGTTTGATTGGGGGGGGGGGGGAAGTTTTGCTCCGCTGCGTTTTTTTACACTCTTGTCTAGTCTGAAAGATTCCTGGCAACTGGAAAGCTACTAACATTACAACACTAAGAGGCAAGAGAGGAAAACCTGGGCAACTGAGAGGAAAATGGACTAAAAGTTCATTTAGTCAGAGTGTTTAAATCTTCACTTTGTTTGTTTTGGCTAACACCTATTTATCTCCAGTGTTTACTGGACACTTGGAAGGAAGGATGTCTTTGTTAAAGATTGAAAATCTCTTTCCATTAGAGCTTACAATTGTAAGCAGTGTCAGGATGAGCTCCACCCTGACATCTGGTGGTGAGGTGTGGCAAGTTGTGGAAAAGAACTTCAGGGACCGATCTCATTTGCATAGGCACACCCACCCCGCCTAGAATGAGGCCATAGCTGCCCAAATGGTCACTTTGGCTGCTGTGGGATCCCCAGTGTCTCTGTTATTGGGGCAGGAAGAATAAATTGTTATTACCCTGATTATGGGAACTGTGCTTGGAACTGTACCTGGCCTTTTGTTATGACGGAGGGACTCACCATCAACTAAGTAGCACTCGCTAGGCAATGGTCATGGGTTCAACTCTGTGAATGGAGAGAGGCTGGGGATAAGTATTAATACTTGGTGGCATGAGGGCCTTACATGCTAATTGCACTTCCTCCTCTCTCCACTGTGGAATATCAGAGCTAATTCATTAGAAGTCTAGTTACAGGCTGCTGAGCTCACTTTGGGCTAATAGTCAACCAGCACTGAGGCTCCCCTGCTACAAGCTGAATTCACCAAAGAGCTGAACTGACTAAGAGCTGAAATCACTGAGCGGTGTGTTAAGTAGTGGGGGAGCCTGAAGATATATTGTGGAGCAGTTTGCGGGACGGCTGGAGTGCCTTGTGGACAGGCTGGTGGAGCAGTTCATAGGACGGCGGGAGCTGCTGGTGGGACGTGGAGCAGTTCGTGGGATGGCGGGAGCTGCGTGTGGGCTGCAGAGTGGAGCTGAGCGAAGCAGTTTGTGGGGTGGCTGGCAGAGCGGAGCGAAGGCCTATGGAGCAGTGGGGCGGTCAGCATCAGATCATGTAAGGTGCCTCTTACCTCCATCTCCACCCAGGTTAGGAGGTAAAGCTCTGTAGATAAACTTTTGAACTCTGGGGCTGCCCTGACCAGGGACAGAGACTTTTGGGTCATTGGACTTTTGGGACTTTGGGTGATTTGGGGTTGCTGGACTCAAGAACAAAAGGGAAAGGGCATGCCCCAATTTGCTTGGGGTGGGTTTTTTGCTCATGAGTTGTGTTATGAATCCTGTTGGTGGTGTTTCCCCAACATAATGCCACATTGTTTCTCTCTGTTATTAAAAGGCTTTTTGCTACACTCAGACTAAGTGCTTGCGAGAGGGGTGGTATATATCTTGGAGGCGCCCAGCGGGGGTGGTATATATTTGTCCCAGGTCACTGGGTGGGGGCTCGAGCCGGTTTGCATTGTGTTATTGGAACGGATCCCCTAGATATTGAACCCGGCCCTTGTTGCTGCCAACTCTGATGGGCAGAAGGGTTACACAATGTACATCCCCTGCAAATGAACATAATTAAACTTTCCCCACCCTCTGTGAGTCCTTCTGCAAAACCAGGGGAGAGCAGACTTGTCCTACCTAATATTTATACAGTAAAATCAAACAAAACCAAACCACCTTTATAAATAACAGCCCATTGCCCCCAGACGTTCAAGCCTGACATAAGCAGCAAAAAGTAGCAAAAAGGAGGAGACAGGCTTGTCACACAATCCCTCTGCTAGTCACTTTCCAGGCTCCAGGGGCAAGTTCAGGAGCCAGGCTGCGATCTGTTGCCCCTGTCACAAAGGAAGAGAATGGAGCTGGGCAGGGGGCAGCACAGAGAAGGAGTTAAAGAGCCTTGAAGTCTAGTGATTTTCCCAGTGGTATGTCATAGAACACATGCCATGTAACTACGGCTGCCAGCATCCAGGATTGTCCCAGATTATCCTCCAGGCATACGTCCAACCAAAACTGGCAACCCTACCTATAACATGACTGTAACCATGACCACCCCCCATCACAGCTGTGCAGCCCTGCCCTGTGCCATTAGCGGTAAGGGTCAGGGCAGGCCGGCAGAGTCCTAGGAAAGAGATCTGTATTATGCATGCTGAGGCCAGGGGTAAATACTGAGGCTCCAGGGGGTATATGCAAGCAGCCTGGACCTGGCTTGCATTCCTGATGTCACACTGAACTTGGTTCCTCCTGAAGTGTGACCCGCTTTCTCTAGTTCCACTGATCATATGACATGTCCCAGTGACATGGGCATGGAGCAGCTTCTGTTAACTCCCAGATACCAGAAGGAATGTGCTACTAGGCTACTCCTCACCCCTCCCTTCAGGATTTTTCCACCCACTGTTTCCCATCTTTGCTTCGCTCTGTGCCTGACAGCAGAGGAGATCTTAGCCCTTTTAGGAAATACAGAACAGAGGAGGGTCCAATTTACAAAAACGGCCACAGGCAACGAACCCCACACTTACTCTGAACCTCCAGAGCCCCCCGATGTCATCGCTTCTCTCGAAGCAGGTGGGCTGCAGCCCCTCATCCAGGCAGCACTTGATGGAGGTCAGTCCGCTCACGCCAGAGCCGATCACAGCAACCCTCTTGGCCATGGTATGCTGGTGTCTGGGAGGATCACGAAGTCTGGTCAATGCAAGGAATCCCCAGGGAACGGGGTCCTTGTGGCTTCAGCAGAATGGTTTAGGAATTCAAGTCAGTGAGTCCTGGAGTCTGCTCTGTGGGAGGAGGACAGAATGGAGTCTTGAGTGTTCCTTAGACGTTCTTGTTAAACCCTGGATTTGTGCTGGAAATGGCCCACCTAGATTATCATACACATTGTAAAGGAGAGTGATCACTTTAGATAAGCTATTACCAACAGGAGAGTGGGTTTGTGTGGGGGCAGGGGGAGAAAACCTGGATTTGTGCTGGAAATGGCCCAACTTAATTATCACACACATTGTAAGGAGAGTGATCACTTTAGATAAGCTATTACCAACAGGAGAGTGGGTTTGTGTGTGTGTGTGTGGGGGGGGGGAGAAAATCTTTTGTAGTGGTAAACACCCATTTTTTCATGCTTTGTGTGTATAAAAAGATCTTCTATACTTTCCACAGTATGCATCTGATGAAGTGAGCTGTAGCTCACGAAAGCTTATGCTCAAATAAATTGGTTAGTCTCTAAGGTGCCACAAGTACTCCTTTTCTTTTTGCGAATACAGACTAACACGGTTGTTACTCTGAAACCTGTCATTATGCAAGGCACTGCATTTAGCCGTATGGAGTGGAAATCTATCAACTGCATGAAAAAACTTGTACAGATACAGACAGACGTCATCTTCCTTTCCAAATGCAAACAGATGGACACCGTACCAAAAGGACTGAAGGTAAAAAATCCATCACAATCTACATACCACACAGACTATGCTGACAGCTTGTGCCACACGCTCTCAAAGAAACTGCGGAACCACCTGATCAACATCCTCTACAGCAAACAGGGAAAGATAAAGAATGAGCTCTCAAAAATGGATACTCTCATAAAAAACGAACCTTCCACACAAACTTCCTTGTGGCTGGACTTTACTAAAACTAGACAAGCCATTTACAACACACACTTTGCTTCTCTACAAAAGAAAAAGGACACTAAACTTTCTAAACTACTACACGCCACAAGGGGCCACAGCAATGGTTCCCTCAACCCACCCAGCAATATTGTTAACCTATCCAACTATACTCTTAGCCCAGCAGAAGCAGCTGTCCTATCTCGGGGCCTCTCCTTCTGTCCCTCCACCCCCACGAACATGATACAGTTCTGTGGTGACCTAGAATCCTATTTTCGACATCTCTGACTCAAGGAATATTTCCAACACACCTCTGAACAACATACTAATCCACAGAGACCTCCTTACTAACACTACAAAAAGAAGGATTCTAGGTGGACTCCTCCTGAAGGTCGAGACAGCAGACTGGACTTCTACATAGAGTGCTTCCGCCGACGTGCACGGGCTGAAATTGTGGAAAAGCAGCATCACTTGCCCCATAACCTCAGCCGTGCAGAACACAATGCCATCCACAGCCTCAGAAACAACTCTGACATCATAATCAAAAAGGCGGACAAAGGAGGTGCTGTTGTCATCATGAATAGGTCGGAATATGAACAAGAGGCTGCTCGGCAGTTCTCCAGCACCACTTTCTACAAGCCATTACCCTCTGATCCCACTGAGAGTTACCAAAAGAAACTACAGCATTTGCTCAAGAAACTCCCTGAAAAAGCACAAGATCAAATCCGCACAGACACACCCCTGGAACCCCGACCTGGGATATTCTATCTACTACCCAAGATCCATAAATCTGGAAATCCTGGGCACCCCATCATCTCAGGCATTGGCACCCTGAGAGCAGGATTGTCTGGCTATGTAGACTCCCTCCTCAGGCCCTACGCTACCACTCCCAGCTACCTTCGAGACACCACTGACTTCCTGAGGAAACTACAATCCATCGGTGATCTTCCAGATAACACCATCCTGGCCACTATGGATGTAGAAGCCCTCAACACCAACATTCCACACAAAGATGGATTACAAGCCGTCAAGAACACTATCCCCGATAATGTCATGGCTAACCTTGGTGGCTGAACTTTGTGACTTTGTCCTTACCCATAACTATTTTACATTTGGGGACAATGTATACCTTCAAATCAGTGGCACTGCTATGGGTACCCGCATGGCCCCACAGTATGCCAACATTTTTATGGCTGACTTAGAACAATGCTTCCTCAGCTCTCGTTCCCTAACGTCCCTACTCTACTTGCACTATATTGATGACATCTTCATCATCTGGACCCATGGAAAAGAAGCCCTTGAGGAATTCCACCATGATTTCAACAATTTCCATCCCACCATCAACCTCAGCCTGGTCCAGTCCACACAAGAGATCCACTTCCTGGACACTACAGTGCTAATAAACGATGGTCACATAAACACCACCCTATACCGGAAACCTACTGACCGCTATTCCTACCTACATGCCTCCAGCTTTCACCCAGACCACACCACACGATCCATTGTCTACAGCCAAGCTCTGCGATACAACCGCATTTGCTCCAACCCCTCAGACAGAGACAAACACCTACAGGATCTCTATCAAGCATTCTTACAACTACAATACCCACCTGCGGAAGTGAAGAAACAGATTGATAGAGCCAGAAGAGTTCCCAGAAGTCACCTACTACAGGACAGGCCTAACAAAGAAAATAACAGAACGCCACTAGCTGTCACCTTCAGCCCCCAACTAAAACCCCTCCCACGCATTATTAAGGATCTACAACCTATCCTGAAGAATGACCCAACCCTCTCACAAATCTTGGGAGACAGGCCAGTCCTTGCCTACAGACAGCCCCCCAACCTGAAGCAAATACTCACCAGCAACCACATACCACACAACAGAACCACTAACCCAGGAACCTATCCTTGCAACAAAGCCCGTTGCCAACTGTGCCCACATATCTATTCAGGGGACACCATCACAGGGCCTAATAACATCAGCCACACTATCAGAGGCTTGTTCACCTGCACATCCACCAATGTGATATATGCCATCATGTGCCAGCAATGCCCCTCTGCCATGTACATTGGTCAAACTGGACAGTCTCTACGTAAAAGAATAAACGGACACAAATCAGATGTCAAGAATTATAACATTCATAAACCAGTCGGAGAACACTTCAATCTCTCTGGTCACGCGATTACAGACATGAAAGTTGCGATATTACAACAAAAAAACTTCAAAACCAGATTCCAGTGAGAGACTGTTGAATTGGAATTCATTTGCAAATTGGATACAATTAACTTAGGCTTGAATAGAGACTGGGAGTGGCTAAGTCATTATGCAAGGTAACCTATTTCCCCTTGTTTTTTCCTAGCCCCCCCCACCTCCTCAGACGTTCTTGTTAAACCTTGGATTTGTGCTGGTAATGGCCCACCTTGATTATCATACACATTGTAAGGAGAGTGATCACTTTAGATAAGCTATTACCAGCAAGAGAGTGGGGTGGGGGGAGACAAAACCTTTTGTAGTGGTAAACACCCATTTTTTCATGCTTTGTGTGTATAAAAAGATCTTCTATACTTTCCACAGTATGCATCCGATGAAGTGAGCTGTAGCTCACGAAAGCTTATGCTCCAATAAATTGGTTAGTCTCTGAGGTGCCACAAGTCCTCCTTTTCTTTTTGCGAAGACAGACTAACACAGCTGCTACTCTGAAACCAGGTGAGTTCTGAGTATTGCCAGTGCGGCTGTGAGCTTCCCAGCAGTGCCCTGCTCCTCAGTGGCCCCCCGTAGTCCTGTCTGATTACTCAAATGGGATCAAGGGAGCCATCTGGTGGGATGCGGAAGATGCTGAGAATGAACTAAGCTTTGTGGAGGGAGTGGGTTAAATGTGAGCAGATGCACAAGCTCAGTAGAAAGAGAAGGAGGCTCTGACTATGCTGGGGAGGTGGCTGTGAAGGGGTATGAGGTTAGGGCGTGGTTAGGGGGACAGGATGAAGAGAATGGATGATTTGGGAGATTGGAGACATTTGGGGAACAGGAGATAACCAGTGGGAGCTGCAGGATAGGAACAGGTTGGGGGAAGGCACGTGGGGGTTTATAATAACTATACCGTGCACTCCCGGAGCACTCTCCACCCTCAAGGTGCATCACAAACATAAGTGACTGAACCTCCACAAGAACAGTGTAAGGCTAGAGATGGGGAAACTGAGGCACAGGCAGGTCAAATGAGTGGCCCAAGCTCAGAGCTCCATGGCAGCACTGAGAGCGGAGCTCAGGTCTCCAGATCCATAGCCCCGTTCACGAGTGAGGGAGTTTGGGGAGAAGGACGGGGATTGAGAGCAGGATGCAGAGATGAGTGAGAGGTGAGGTGAAGGCTGGATTTAAGGAGGAATTGGGAGGAAGACTGAAGGAGCGGTGGGGAAGGTCAGCAGGAGGTCAAGGAGACTGCAGGAAAGGGAGGGAAACAGGGAATGGAGGGTGAAAGAGGAGAGAAAAGACATGATGTGAGAAGGAAAATAAGAACATGAAGCATGAGGACCAATCAGAAAAGCTGTTTGAAAAGAAAGGAGAGCAGCAAAGAGATCGAGGCAAGGGAAAAACCGCTGGATTGTACAGCAAACTGTGATCCAGAGAAAAGATACTGGAATGAGTGCAAGATCAAGCATACAAGGAAAGAAAGAGCCAGGAAGGGAATGAAAAAATGAAGAGAAGGACGAGTGAAAGCAGAGGCGTACTTTGACTTCTATATTTGGAGGGGCAGCTCCAGCCAAGCCAACGAGGCCATGCGGGGAGAAGGGGGGCAAATGCCACACCTGCCCAAGGCTTGTGGTTTGGGAGGGCAGCACCCCACCTGCCCTCCCTGCCCCAAACTATGTCCTTCGCTGTGAAACCACGAAAGACGTGGGGCGTTAAAAATAAATGGATTTGGAGAAAGATTGCAAAAAACAACATACAAACACGGAATGCATCCGACGAAGTGAGCTGTAGCTCACGAAAGCTCATGCTCAAATAAATTGGTTAGTCTCTAAGGTGCCACAAGTCCTCCTTTTCTTTATACAAACACTGTTTGAGTTATACGATGTGTGTATTCCCCCCCCGCCCCATCCATGATCCCACCTGACTGCTCCCACCCCATTGGCTTGCCCCTTTTCCCCAAATGCTACCACCATTGCGTGCCCCAAAACACAACTTTCATAGGTCTACCTGCTGTAACTAGAGTCCCTCTCCGCCTTGGGTTAGAAAACTA